ACCCCCGGTGCTGGGGGGCCACAAATCTTGAGGTTGGGGGCCACAAACTCCCAGGGCTCAGGGGCCACAAACTCCCAGGGCTCAGGGGCCACAAACTCCCAGGGCTTGGCAGCCCCAAAACTGGGGGTTGGGGGCCACAAAACTCTGGGGCTCAGAGACCACAAACTCCTGGGGCTCGGGGGTCACAAGACTCTGGGAGTTGGGGGCCACAAAGCTCTGGGGGGTCACCTCATCCTTTGAGCCAGGGAGGGGCGAGCAGCCACACAGACAGACAGACAGACCGACCAACCACCAGGTTATCAGGCAGGGCTGTGTGAGCTGCCATCTCCTCTCAGCCCAAACTCCAAACCGTGGCCGTAGGAAGCCGATGGCCACCAGCCCCGATGGCCACCAGCCCCGCTGCCCCACGGGCTCCTTTTGCTCTGCTCAGATAATTACACGTCGGGTGATTTTGCAGGAGGTTCCTCCACTTTGACGGGTGGTTCCACCGGCTTCTGCTCTTCTTCCTGCAAGACAAGGAGGGGAGAGGAGCTCAGGGAAGAAACACAGATTGTTCATTGATTTATTTAAAACCAGTTGAGTGAGAGAGAAAAACATCACAGTGGGGACATGGAGGAGACTTTTGGGTCCCCACTGGTCCAGGAGGCAGCGCCTGTAACTCACCCTGCACATACCCACAGGTTCCTGTGTCACAGGATCACCCTGAGTGGAAAAACCCTTTGAGATCATCGAGTCCAACCATGAACCCAACACTGACCAGTCCCTGACTGACCCATGTCCCTCAGCACTGTGTCTACACCACTCTTCAATCCCTCCAGGGATGGATGGGAAGGTTGGAAAAGATCTCCAAGATCATCAAGTCCAACCAACCATCAACCCAACACCACCGTGGCCACTAACCCATGTCCTGAAGTGTCATGTCTACATGGTTTTTGAACATCTCCAGGGATGGGGAGGTTGGAAAAAACCTCCAAGATCATCGAGTCCAACCATGAACCCAACACTGACCAGTCCCCTATGACTAACCCATGTCCCTCAGCACTGTGTCTACACGACTCTTCAATCCCTCCAGGGATGGGGACTCCACCACTGCCCTGGGCAACCCCTTCCAATGCCTCAGAACCCTTTCAGCAAAGAAATTCTTCCTCACATCCCATCTCAACTGCCCTGGCCACAACTGGAGCCCATTTCCTCTTGTCCTGTCCCTTGGGCCTTGGTTGAACAGACCCACCCCCACCTCTCTCCACCCTCCTCCAAGGGACTTGCACAGAGCCACAAGGTCTCCCCTCAGCCTCCTTTTCTCCAGGCTCAAAGATGAGGTGTTTTAAACATTTCCTGTTTAGCTCAGCCCACTAAGGCCCCATTCACACCAAAAAGTGACATCACACCCGACAGGCTCATCCTGGCAGCATCTGAACACCAACAGACACAACTTCTCAGCTTGTTTTGCCAAAAATCCAATCCTTTAGCAGAAAATCTGGATTTCAGAAGGCTGAGGGAATAAACTGCAGTGAGACACTTTCACTGTGGAGCCAAAGAACACTGAAAGCACCCAGGGCTCATGGTCAGTGCCCAGCACCCATCTGGTAACACCCATCACCTGGTAACACCCATCACCTGGCAGCACCCATTTCACCTCTCACCAAATAGTTTTGGTGAAAGGAGGGAGAAATCTTCCACATCCTCTCCACCCACCCTTGTGGGACACGCAGCAGCGAGCCTGACCACTGGGAAATCAGGTGCCACTGGTGTTTTAAGCTCAATCTTTCCCAGGTGGGATCCCCTCACCTCCCTCAGCACAAACTCTCCTGCTTTAAGGCTCAAACCTGCAGCACCAACAGGGCAACTTGTCCTTAAAATGCTTTCTTAGAAGAAAATCAGGTTCTGGCTGCATTTGCTGATCAATTTGTGATGAAAAACCCACGGGGTGAGGTGGGGTGAATCCTGCTGAGCAGGGATGGGATAACCCTGCCTGTTACTGACACAGCAACGTGGCACCTGGGGAACAAAACCAGGGGGTTCAGACCCAACGAGGAACAACCACGGGGCTTTAAATCAGCCCCAGCCCCAGGTGTC